TTCTCTTATCAGTTATAAATATTCTTCACCAGCACCCTAAACCTAGAAAGACCAAGATAAGAAAGGTTCAAAAGTGCCAATGGTTATTTTTTATAATGGAGTTCAAGGCCACTATCCATGGCCTGTCCTTGACACCCTCAAGGTTAACCAGATTGGAAAATCCTAAAGAGACAAAAGCGCCGAGTTAATGCAAAAAATGTCAGCCAACTCCACCCCTAAGACTAAGAACCGAACGGGCTCGATTCCTTCCAAAGAAGCAGTAAGTCCCTCTCCTTTCTTATGGGTATGTGTACTCTCATGGAACAGACGGACTTCACGAATAGCTTTCAAAGGCAAGGTCTAGATAAAGTCAATCAGCATAGGTGATTGTCCTACTAGGGTGACATCTCCCATGGCACCTTTTTGCAGGAAAGGCCAGTGGGCCCCTCTTGCTCTTCAAGAACAGAGCAGTTGGTCGCCAAGGACTAACCTCTTGCCACACCACATACACAGCAACATATTGAACCCCATGGCACATATGTAACCAAGTTTAAAAGCACCCTTCCAAGAGCCTGTGCCTAACAGGTACCCAAACAAGGCTGGAATCTGCTATCTTCTCCAAAAGGCATCATTTTTTCTTTTACAACTAAACTAAGCATGATCACAAGGAAAACTTACCTTCACTCTGAGGTCTGTTTTGAAAAGAAGAAATTAAAAGAAGCAACTGGAAAGACTGTGAGTACATGGAAGATGAAGAGATGAACACAGGACAAAGGAGAGGGTGGGCAGAGACAAGGACGTGAGGTGAGGGCACAGGTGTGGTGGACATGCCGATTAGCTATCTCCAAAAACATGTTCCTCCCACTAAGGTAGCAAACAAGGAAAACATTTTTTATTTTTTCTTCTGGCACCTGGAGCATAAATGATTGCTGCAGTAATATCAGAAATTATTGGTCATTTTGAGCATTCTTGCTAGTGAGAAGCCAGCATTCCAGCCAATTTGAGAAACTGGCCCCAAGGTGCCCTAGATATTTTGTTTTTCAAATGCAGGAATGTCAGCTGCTGGACAAAAAGTGATGTATACTGTCTAGTGGCCAGCATGCTGGCCAGACACCAAATTTGGAATGTGTCTCCCCGTACTTTTGGTTCCAGCTCAGCCATCCTCTACAGCCAGTGCCACACCCTGGAACGAGGACTCTGCCCAGAACACAGCAAGAATGCAAGCAGTATTTGGGCCTCATTAACCCAAAACAAAACTGAGTTCTAAGCCTTCACATCTACAAATGTTTCTAGAAGCTAGCCTAAAGCCAAGGCAAGTTAGAGATAGGTGGGTCTTTTCTTAAAGAAGTTGATTACTTCTAATTCCATTCTAGTTAAGGCTTATCTGAAGGGAGCCTAGAAAGCCCCAAAATTAAATGTGGCTGGGCTGCATATAATGAGCTTTTAAATAAGGTGTTCTCAAATACACAAAATGGCATAACCACTCTAACTTTAATCACATCCTTATTTAAAAAAAAAAAAAACACAGCATGATGAGTTGAAAAACTGATAAAGCATATATTTTGCCCATATGGATTTTTAACTTGTACCTATGACATCAAATGAAGCCTACAGAGACCCTTCACTTTTAAAATTCTTTTAGTGAAGTATAATTAACTTGCAATGTTATATTAGTTTCAGGTGTACAACATACAGATACAATTCTATATTGGAATTGTGCTCACCACAGTAAGTGTCATCACCATTTATCACCATACAATATTATTACGATATTATTGACTATATTCCCTATGCCATACTCTTCATCTCTATTTTATAACTGGGAGTTTGTATCTCTTAATCCCATTTATCTAGTTCATCCATCTTTCCACCTGAGATCCCTCACATGAAGCCAAGAAGCTTCATGTGAAATACGAATATCCCAGACTTACCTGCAGGTGCCAACCTTGACCGTGAGGCAGCATTACTATTGACCACAGCCTGCACCACAGTGGCACTCACTCTGCTTGGAGCATGATCATTTTACACACTGTACATTTTTCCCCTAACATCACTACAGAATTCTCCATGGAAAAGAGACCTTTGAAATTTTTTTATCATTTGGAGAAATCCTATAATCTGTATGAGGGTAATCATACTAGGGAGAGGGACACTTGACAAACACAAGAAAGGCATGCATCTCAGCTCTTTTCTGTACATTCCACTTTGCTAACCATTCACTACTTCCTCTCTCTCACAGGAACATTACTATGCGTCATTCATAACCTATCCAGACAAAATGGAAACAGCACACGCATATCTTAGGTGCGTGTAAATCACCAGAATCCTTACAGTAAACAGGAGATGGCCTGTGGGGGGGGGGGAGGGGAAATGGTGAGAACACTATGAATGTTTCCAGCCTAGAGCCTACTTCCAAGAACCACGCTGCAATAGTGTAGCAGAAGCAGAAAACTGGCATGAATTGATAAGACAGCAATTAATCCACTCTCTCCACTGTTACTGAGCAATGCGCTGTTGGTACCGAAGTTCTTTTCTAAACATGATTGACTCCATGATTGATAAGCATTTGTAATGGAGTGCTTCTTCCTTTAAGCAGCTGGAGCAGATGAAATATCCTAGCAACATATAGTAGTCTACACCACTCTCCAACTATTTTGCTGTTCTTCATATTAATATTTGGCCTCTACTGAAAATACATTAAATGTAAAGCCCATTGAACACAGAAGACACAAGAAATGGGTAAAATGGTCAAATGAAACTATGATGTCGGACTGTATGTCTCCACACAGACAGATGTGTGTCTCATTACATGAATTATCTAGTATTTATACATGATTATTTGTATCAAAAACACAAAATACATAAGCATAGGGAATAAAAGGAATAGACAGGCAACCCATAGTTACGAATTGGGAGTATGAATTACTGAATGGAGTTATTTTTTCTACTAACGATTTATCAGAGAAATAATTTCTAAAAATAAATTGTGTCAATTTAAAGAGGTAATAAAAAGATGACAGAATAAGTAGCACAAGCAATTCCAAGCTTAACCAACAAAATTATGTTAAAAAATGAGGTATTATACTCTCATCCTGAAGCAATACTGTCAACTTATAAGCAGCACTAGCAGCAATCTGGTGCCTTACAACACCTTATAGAATAAATTCAAAATTAGCAATAAGATGCTCAGGTATACTATATAACCTAATAACTATTTCTAAAACCCCTAGCCTCATTTTTTTCATTTATTCTCATAATAATTGACTAAATGAGACACACGGATACATGTCACACTGTTCATTTCTTTTTTTTTTTTTACACTGTTCATTTCTAATCAAGATAAGCATTAGGTGTCCAATCAACGTAGCCTTAATCTTCTATAAGGAACCAGAAAAATATAGTATGACTGAATAAAAGCAGCTAACTATTGTAATTTTACATCCAAAAGTCCAGCTCTCCACAGGCACACACCTATAAGATAGAATTTACAACTGCCACCTCTTGCATATTAAAATAGTAAAAGCATACCAAACAATAAAAACATTAAAACTTATTTAAAAAACACATAACTGTCCTCCAAATAGCTCTTCTTAGAACAAACTCTATACAGAATGGGCAAATATCCAGTTATTTCAATTGATGTAGGAATACGATAGTAACAATTTAGGCACAAGTGGATTATGCTCTTAATTTATCCAATTCAGATGCTTTAGATCTAAAATAGGCAACTAATCTCCAATTTTTATTTCCTATCATACTGTTTTGTCCCAGACACATAAAACTGCATTCACAGGTATACAATCTACTACTGTCTGTAAGGCTAGAGAAAAAAATCGCTAACATTTTGTCAGGATGTTCATGAACCTTCACAGTAAAGCAATAACAATATTCCCTCAAACACATATTCGTCACCACCTCTAAGTGATTTTGGCCCACATAGCAGGAGAGTTTAGATTTAGTACAGGTCAAGGTAGCATATAGCTTTACAATTGTATTCATGAAAGAACATACACAAACTTATCCTGGGCTCCTCAATGAGCTCATACTAATTAAACCTTTAACAATTTTCTTGATTCCAAGGTATGATTTCCTTTTTGTCACTGCTAACATTTACATAGAAATCTTGCCCAATAAGTACTACAGATAATACGCCAAAAAAAATAATAATCCCAGCATAAAATGCAATAGAAACGATTGGTACAGAAGTTAAAGAATATCGCTTCCTTTATCTTAGTAGCATGGTTGGTTGTGACCAGAATGAAGTTACCTAAGCAACCACTCTAAAGCACACACAATATTCAAATGCATCTTTATTGTGGTGGCTCAGTGTCTAGAAGTTTGTTGTTGATAGCATGTATAAAACTGTCAGATGAATTTCTGGGGAAAAAAAAAAACTGAGTATAAAAGTTTATTTAATGGTCATATGCCACTAGGACTTAAATACCCATAAACAAAATCATAAAAATAAAATAACCCAAAGTAAAAAATAACTTAGGCTAAGACAAAAAAAAAAAAGAGAAATGAGAGTTGTTTAGTCACAAGTAAAATCTTTAAAGCAACCATAGATTCACAGGCACATCCCCTCTTGCTGCAGAACAGCAAAGTGGTCTTTTTATTTCTAAAATGTTACACATTTACATAATCCTTACAACCCAAATGCTGGGGTGGGGGTAATATTAAAATACTTCTAAAAACTATTAGGGATGCATAAAATCACACATTTAACAAATTATGTGGGATGCCCAAAGTTGCTGATACTGCTGATCGCAGGTTAATCTGTGTGAAATCAGCAGGGAAAGAAAAGGGCAGAGTAAGGCCGGCCTCATGTACTTCACTGTGTCTCTACACAGTAGGGAATACCAGATTATCTTCAAGTATAGTGTGCTATACTTGTGCTGTATTTGGTAATTTGGGAAATCTATGAGGCCACAAAGCGTATACATACACGGGGGGGGGGGGGGGCAACAAAACCCAAGAAGCCAAAAGTTTCCCTCTCTCCAAGAAAGTGAAGAAATTCTTACCTTTCTGTACACCAGCATGTTGGGCGATTCATCTGCCACCCCGTTGCTGGTCTGCCCGTAATTATTCCCCTGGGCCATGTCACCCCACACTCGGTGCGCTCTCAGATACTGGGATTAGTGGTCTGCGCTGCAAAGGGTTAAGGGAGACTTCAGTGAAATGCACATGGCAGTGCTCAAGAGGGGTGACTTGAAGCCTCTTCAGAATCCACGGCACCCACCCCACATGCAGCATACTTACATGTCAGGGCCAGCTGGAGGAAGTGGCACAGAAATAGTTTTTGTTTGTTTGGTTTTTTGTTTTTGTTTTTTTAAAATCTGAATTTACACCTACAGTACCCTCGGGAAGTTGTAAGAAATGACAATCTTTTAGTTAGAATAGTCGTTTGGCAATGGTTTTAACTGACTTTGATCTTCTGGATACTCATTTGAAAAAGTGTCTGATGCTCACCTAAAAAAAAAAAAAAAAAAGAAAAAAGAAAAAAACCCACGGTCACCGTGTCTGCGCTACAGAGTTCTCTTGTTTCCCAACACTTGCATGTCGACTTGATGGTGTTTTCCCGAAAGGGCAGAAAGGCAGCAGCAGCCGCGCTGGCTCCCAGGTATCTGGCCAGTTCCCCCGCGGGCAGCGAGCGCCTCAGGCAGGCCCACCCCGCGTGGCGCTTCGCCTTCGCTCCCCCGGGTCCCCCACACAGAGCCCGAGGAGCCTTCCCACTTCCACCTGCCGGCGCTGCCCGCCCCCGGGCCCCCGCTCCCCGCTCCGCTCGGGAAGTCAGGACGGATCCCCGCCCAGGCGGCACCAGGCTCCGTCCCGGCCGCGGGCAGCGGAGGGAGCCCAGCCCTCGGGCAGTTACCTGGGTCGCGTGGGGAGCAGCAGCCTGCCTGCAGGAACCTCAGGGCCACCGGCCCGCGAGGGGAAAGCCAGGGCGCCCCAGCTCCCGCCGCCCCGCTCTCCCGGCGGCACAAACGGCAGCAGGTTCAGCACCGCAGACCCGGGCGAGCGCGGCGCCCGCAGCCCGCAGCCCGCAGCCCGCAGCCCGCAGCCCGCAGCCCGCAGCCGGCAGCCCGGCCGGGGCGCGCGGGGCTCCGGGGCGGCCGCGGGCGGGGGCGCCAAGGGAGGGTGGGTGCGGGGCGCGCGGGGCGGCGGGGCGCGCGGGGCGGCGCTGCCTCCCCCCTCCCGCCGCGCCGATTTACCTCCTCGGCCAAGGTCACGGCCCCGCGGCGTCTGCCCTCCGGGGCGGGCTGGGAGCCGGCGCTGTCAGCTGGCGGCGAGCGGAGCAGCGAGAGGGGGCAGCCTCATCACACTCGGCGGATGCGGAACCGCGCCGCCCGGGAGACCGCCGCCGCCGCCGCCGCCGCCGCCGCCGCCGTGCACGGGCGGCCCCGGCAGCCCGCCGCTCGCGCCCGCTCCCCCCCGCGCCCGCCGCCCGGCCGGCCAGCTCCCTCCGCCGCTCTGCTCCGGGCGCGGGGACCCGCCGGGCGCGCGCGGGAGCCGAGACGCCGGCCCGTGCGCGCGCCTGGGAGGCGGGAGGCGGGAGGCGGCAGGAGGCAGGCGGGAGGCGGGAGGCGGGAGGAGGGGCGGTCACGTGGGCCCGGCGGCCGGAGGTGCGGGCTCGCAGGCGCGGGGCTGTGCGCGTCCGCCCCGCCGCGCGCCCGGGCGCCAAGGCCCCTGGGGGCACGCGCCGCGGGGCCGCCGGAGTCGGCGCGGCGGGCGGCGGGCGGCGGGCGCCGGCCGGAAGGGCAGGGCGGGCGGGCGGGCGGGCGGATGGAGGGATGGAGGGATGGAGGGATGGAGGCACGGAGGGATGCAGGGAGCCCCGCGCAGCCGGAGCGCTTCGTCACGTGCCTGCTGGCTCCGCTGACAGTGCGAGGGCAGCAGATGATTGATGATGGCTGGGCTTAACCGACGGGAAGACGGAGATCCCTGAGAGTCCTGGGAGGGACGAGAACGGCCAGGACCGGTGGAGCCACCCAGCCTGTTGCCTGTGGCGTTCACAGCTTCCTCCTAAGTTTAAGAAACGGGCCGCGCTGCGCAGGCGGGCGGCGGGCGGCGGGCTGCGGGCTGGAGCTGGAGCCGGAGCCGGAGCAGGAGCCGGAGCAGGAGACCTCACCACCTGGGAAGCCGAAGGGCCGGCCCGAGCGCGCGCCGCCTCCCGGGAGGGCGGCGCTGCGGGGACCCACCTGTCGGCCGCCGCCCTCCCCCTGTCGCGGGTCTCCGAGAAGGCCCGGGGTGCTGATCCCGCGGAATTATTCTTCAAGTCGATGTCCCTGATTCCTCTGTAAGGATCAGAACGACGTGAAGAAAAAAATCGCTGTTGTCCCAATTATGGTAAAGAAACTTGGGTCTCTGGCTTTCTGGGGCAGATTTGGGAAGCTATGAATATCTGAAAATCTCTTTCCTCAGCTGTGCCAGGTGTGGAGGAGAGACAGCAGATAAGCAAGGCAGCCCCTTCTGAACCCCCTACACCTAAACAGAAGTTACCCCTGGCAGGGACAGCTATTCAGAGCACTCCCAGCGCCGCAGGGTCCAATGCATTTTTCCCCAGGTCCACCCAGGCAGGAAGGCTTCACCCAAGGAACAGAGTTATCTGACGTATCCTCTGTTCTGAATGCTACAGGGCGAAGGATACCATCCCAAATTGCTTTACACACACCCTAGTCTGACCCATGCCCCACTCCCCCACCACCACCACCACCACCAGTTCCCAAAATCTCTACGATGTGTGCTCTGGAAAGTATGCTGTTTTTCATAAAAATTCCCATTTAAAAAAATTCTTCTCTGCTCTTTCCTTAATATTCATGCTGTGGCCAGGACCCACCTCTTCCCCTTTGCTCAGTCTACTTCTGGGAAGTTGACATGAATGGAATTAATAAATTTGGGAGGAATACTGGACATGCTAACTCATCCTGACCATTTTTCCTCTTAAGGGGGAACTGCCTGAAGGAAGCAGGTTTTCTCCTTTGCATCACTAGAAAAGGTTCTAACCCCCCATACTCAGCACTGATGGATCTTTCTCACGAATGAGCAAACTAACAGAATAGAGAGGCAACTGTATATATTTTATACATGGGGTGTAAAATACACCCCAGCTGCATGGGACCCCATCCATCTATCCATCATATAGATATGATATGTGTATGTATATCTACATATATATAATCTTGCATAAGGTATCTATATGTAGATATAGCCATGTATAAAATCTCCCTTGACACACTTTCCACTTATTCTTGCTCTAGTTTTTGGCTTTCTTTGGCACCAAGAACTTCCTCTCCTCTTATTTTGTCTTGAGCTCATTCTATTCTGGCAACAACCTCCATGTTACTAAACCAATAGTGAATTCTCAATTATCATATCAAATGACTTTTCAGCAAAAGTTACTGTTCATCTCTTTCATATCTCAAAAACCTTCTACATTTGGCTGCCAGGACACCAATGTCTATTATTTCTCCTCTGCATTACTGGTTGCTATTTCTCAGTTACTCTTTAGCTTTCTCATCCCTAAATTTTGGAGTGCCTCAGAGCTCAGTCTTTGGGCCTCTTCTCCTCAACTTACACGTACTCCCTAAGTAAGCTAAATCGTACTCCTACCTTTAAATGCTACCTAAATACTAATAACTTTCAAATGTATACTCTAGTGTAGGTCTACACTACACTAGAAAGAGAGCAAGAGCGAAAAAGAGAGAGCAGGAGCAAGGGGAAGGGCAGAGGGAGAAGCAGACTCACGCTGAGCAGGGGGCTGATGAAGGGCAGGACCATGACCTGAGCCGAAGGCAGATGCTTAACCAGCTGAGCCACCCAGGCTCCCCGGATATTGTCTGTTTAGCTCCTTGTCATGTATCCCAAGCATAGAAAGGTTTCTGGCCCACAGTAGATGCATGTTAACTAAATGAATCAATGTACCTAATGACAATAATCTGACACATAATTTTTATATTTGGTAACACATAGTTTACATTATTATTTCATTTAACCCCCTAAAATCCTGGTTGTAATTGTTATCTCTTATACATCAATACACCAACAAGGGAGGGGAAGTTGACAGGTTAAGTAAACTGCCCCCATTCCACCCACACAACCCCTAAGTGGCTGTGATGGTTTGTACTGTGTCAACTTAATTAGCTGGAACTACATTTCCCAGGATCCACTTCCCTGTATTAAAGTGAGGAGAGGAATTTGTGCAAGACTGGGAAAGCAGAGTGAGACGGTACGTATTCCTCTCTGAAGGTCTTTGCAGTTTGTGTGTTGGCACGTGCCGAGTCCCAGAAGTCTCTAGCATGTCTTTGTTCTCCCTCACTTCATGTTCAGATTTTCCAAATTCTTTACACTCCTGAGGGCAGCACCACACACTTCACAAAAACCTGAATGTGGACCTGCAGAGGCAGTAGCCTCACAAAGACCACAGCTTGCCATTGACTTTTCTGCCAGCTCCCCTGTATGGTCCCCCTCCATGCCTGGCCATGACTGGCTCCTCAGCTTCCCCAGTAAGCCCATCCACTTGCCTAAGACCCCAGGGAGGTGGGGCGGTTAGTAGAGTCTTTTCTCAGATCTTTCAGTTCCTTCTTCTGGAAAATAACTTCCCCAGCTTCCCTCACAATTATGTAGGGTCTTGTTCCAATAATACACTTCATACTCCATTGTATTCATAGTGCTTCTACTTCTCTGACTGAATGGCTGGCAGAGATCAAATCCAAGTCTTCCAGTCCTTTTCACTATTCCACGAGAAATCCAAGTTAGAGATACAAAAACCTTAAAGCCAATGTCACATGAAAGTGAAAAACTGAACAACAAAAGTATCAAAGGGGTTGACATTCCAATCAGGCTCTTCAAGGACTAATAGGAGGTCTACATGGAAGATGACAAGGGGAGGAATTTCTAGTAAGGCCCAAAGACCAATTCTGAAGCCCATTAAGACAATTGCCATCATAGGACAACCATTTCTTGAAGTCCTACTATCTTTAAACACATTCAGATATTCTTACCATTTCTGACAAAATTTACCCCACAAGCAACTGAAGTTCAAGTTAGGAAACTTGACCTGGATTGTATGCCTTCTGAATATCAGAGTCTACACTCAAACACACTGCTGGGTGACTCCAAAGTCCTACTGAAAAACATGGGGTGTAAAATGCTTCTAGCAACAGAATGAATTTTTTAAAATCTGAGGATCTCCCATGAAGATTCTTGTCATTCTATTTATTATCTGTCTCATCTCTCCTCTCACCTGTCTTTCCTCCACAGCCCTAATGCAAACCTTTCTTTCTGGGCATTAATGATTCAAGGCAGTTTTTGGCCACTTATGGTTGCAAGGCAAATATGGAGGAAGATTCAAGGAATAGCATAGTTCACCATTTCTTCCTTTGTTACGGTTAAGCTTTATTTGACAGCTCATCGTTTGTTTATTGTGCCTTGGGACCAAAAGTATGTTCATCACCTTAATGTTCCTAGGACTCACATTTTTTCCATATATAACCTGAGGGAATTAGACTAGATCATCTCTCAAAACCCAATTGGATCTTAGAACATAAGATTTAAATATGTTCTCTTTTGTACTTTCCTCCTACATAATGTCCCTTTATGTTATAAACAGCAAACAGCATGGATATTGTGGGATGTTTTGCTGTTTCTTTTCTTTCCAAAACCATGTAAATATGTGGTCCTCGGCTATCATCATTCAAAAGCATTTTTTTTTACCATTTTCCTTATGGATCTTATGTTTTGTGATATTTCTGTCAAACAAACTAAATTGTAGAATGTAATAATGCATCTATTTTTCTATGCCACGTAGAACTTCTTGAGTACTAGACAAAAGCCCTTTTACTTCACTAGGTAAATATAATTCCACCCCAAATAATGATATTTAAGGATTTTGTTGTTATTGTTTTGTTTGTTTGTTTTTAGCTTCAGCAATCTTATCTTGGAAAAAAAGTAGAATTTGACTTATATTTTTGAAATATTGGACAGAGTTTTAGTAGTTTGCTAAGACTGTTGTAACAAAGTATCACAAACCGAGAGGCTTAAACAGGAATATATTGTCTCATGGTCCTAGAGACTAGAAGTCCAAAACCAAGGTGCAGGCAGAGTTGGTTTTTTCTGAGGACTCTGAAGGAAAGATTTGTTCCAGGCCACTATCCTTGGCTTGTACATGGCTGCCTCTTCCTGTGTCTCTTCACATTGCCTTCTGTGTTTTTCTGTGTCCAAATTTCTCCTTTGTATAAGAACACCAGCCATATTGGATTTGGGCCCACTCTGCTGACCTCATTGTAACCGCATTACCTCTCTAAAGACCCCATCTCCAGACAAGGTCACACC